AGGTCTTTGACTTGCCACTTTGGTCTTTTCACTTGAGCTGTCCAGCTGTAACTGGGCTTTCTTCTTTGATTTGGGCTCTTGTGTGGAGAAGGTCTTTGACTTGCCACTTTGGTCTTTTAACTTGGGTTGTCCAGCTGTAACTAAGTTGGAGGCAAGGCGGCCTGCTGCTGGAGCAGGTGGCAGTTTGGGTCGGCTTATTTGTGGTTGATCCAAACTGCTTCAATTCCTTCTTTTTGTGTCACGGACTAGAAACAGTATGAGTCAAGGCGATCATGTGTGGAGCACGGACATGTTGGAAGTCAGCAGCAGATGGGTAGGGGAGGTTGGCGACGGTCTGCTCGTTCCTCACACCTACTGTGATGGTAAGTTGCATTCCTTTGATCTGCTACAGTAGCCATGGAATTTTTTGCTGTGTGTTTGACTGACTTCTGTCTTCTGCTTGTAGAAAATGACATCCACAAGAAGCTCGATCTCGGCCCGAACACGATCAATGTTCATCAAGTTTTGAACATCTTTGCCAGGTTCTGTGGATTACGCTGGTTGCTGAGTGAACATCAGAAGGAGGCTGATGGTCTACCCCCAGCCGAAGATGTTGAAAGATGGGAGCTGCATGGCTCGGACCTAGATGATCTGCCAATTGAGCAGGAGAAGTCCTCTACCAAGCTTTCTTATTCTTCCACAAGGAAGTCTTCCATAATGGGATCTCATTTGTTGAGAATGTCCCTATGGGAGTTGCTTCTTCATCTGCCAGGATCAAGCGCCTCGTCAGCACGAACAGTAAGAAGATCAATGGCATGCAGGAGGTCTGGGATATTCTGCTCAGGTATCCGCTCGAACTGTCTAAAACCCATGATCTACCCTGTGAGGAGGCTGTTGAGAAGCAGGGTTTGAGTTGCTTGTGTTGATCCTGGGATCAAACTGAGAGGACTGTACATTTGTCTAGCAATCACGGCTCGTCTGCAAAGCCACGAACAGTCAGGCACGGAGCTGACTTAATGTTGCGAGTTACGGCCAAGAGAGCTAAAGAGTCGTCTGCTCGAGCAAAGAGTCCTTAAGTTGCACGAATTGCCGATCCAGAAGTTGGTGATAGCTTCGCTGGTCAAGTTCGACACTCATGTTAAAGCCACGGAGGCATCCAAGCATGAGATTGTTGCTAATGCGTACAAGCTGGGATACTTGGATTGCAGGAATAGTGCTTCTCCTTATTGCCCTCTCGAACATGAAGACGGTAAGCAGCTTTATCTTGACATGCCCCCTGCATAAGCAGTTGAAGAGCAAATAGCAGATGAAGCTGCAATGGAGAAAGATAACTCCCAAGGTGGCGTAGCTAATAAGGCTAGATCATATGCTAATGAGCAGGCAGGTGAGGCCGCTGAGTAGATGGTACTGGTTGGCTGCTTTGTTATGAAATTTTCAGGGTTCAGTTGTTTTTCAAACTTCAATTCTCATTGTATCTTGTAAGTGTACGTTCGGAGACATAGCACTTGAAAAAGACTTCATTGAGTTTATACTCGCGAAATAGCTTGCCTACAATGAAGGTGAGGCTTGTCGCCAGCTAGTATATGTCAGGGACATAATGCTCCAAAAAGACTCCATTTAGTTTGTGTTTCGTGGAGCAGCTTGTCTGCAATGGAAATGATGCTTGTCTCCTGCGAGCGTATGTCGGGGAAATAATGCTCGAAAAAAACTCCATTGAGTTTGTGCTTCGTGGAGCAGCTTGTCTGCAATTGAAATGAAGCTTGTCGCCTGCGAGCGAATGTCGGGGACATAATGCTCGAAAAAGACTCCATTGAGTTTATTCTTCGAGGAGCAGCTTGTCTGCGATGGAGATGAGGCTTGTCGCCTGCGAGCGTATGTCAGGGACACAATTCTCGAAAAAGACTCTATTGAGTTCGTGGTTCGTGGAGCAGCTTGTCTGCAATAGAGATGAGGCTTGTCTCCTTCGAGCGTATGTTAGGGACACAATGCTCGAAATAGACTCCATTGAGTTCGTGCTTCGTGGAGCAGCTTGTCTACAATGGAGATGAGGCTTGTAGCCTGCGAGCGTATGTCAGAGACATAATGCTCGAAAAAGACTCCATTGAGCTTGTGCTTTGTGGAGCAGCTTGTCTGCAATGAAGATGAGGCTTGTCGCTTGCAAGCATATGTTAGGGACACAATACTCGAAAAAGACTCCATTGAGTTCGTGCTTCGTGGAGCAGCTTGTCTGCAATGGAGATGAGGCTTGTCGCCTGCGAGCGTATGTCAAGGGCACAATGCTCGAAAAAGACTCCATTAAGTTTGTGCTTCGTGGAGCAGCTGTGGGAGCAAATATTTCCATCTCCAATCAGGGCACGCCACGTGAAAAAGAAGATTATCTCTTAAATTAATTAATTAAACCAGTTTATCTGGCCAATTAATTAATTGGGATAAATATCTTAATTAATGGGATATTATCTTTATTTAATGAGATAATACCATTAATTTAGATATTATTCTAATAAAGAGAAGATAATATCATTAATTCAGATATTATCTTCATAAAAAGAGATAATATCGTTTAATTTAGATATTATCTTCAATAAAGAGAAGATAATATCATTAAATCAGATATTATCTAAGTTCGACTCGATCCCTACGAATTTGGGTAGAGAATAAACTCAGTATATTCTCTACGAAACCCTAACCCCGAGGCTCCTATAAATAGACGACTTCATTCATTATTCAAGGTACTTTGAAAAACCCACATCTAAACCTTCTACAGAACCCGAGAAAAATACCAAAAGCTCTCTCTCCCTCTTCACTCTCCATATTTTCTTCACACAGCTTCGACCACCACACACGGCTCCGGCCATCCGGTTCACACCATAAACACATAAACTCCGTACCCTTTGCTTAGCTATTGTTTTCCTACAAACACTCGAACTAACTTAGGCATCGAAGGACCTTTGGCCAACACCCCCGGGTGTGGTCTATTTACTCCAGTCTTTTTTACAGGAATAGAGGAAGAGAGAGAAGGAATACCGAAGGTTGAAGGATCACAAGGCGAATATTCTCCCGCGAGATTTTTTGTACAAACATTTGGTGCTTTCATTGAGAGCACGAGTTATACCTTCTAAACAACCATGGCTGGAAGCAAGCGCACGAGGAGCAAAACCGCTGCGATGGCTAAATCCGCGACGGCCCAAAGCCACTCCACCCACTATCCCGCGATCAACATGGTGGCACCTCCACCTCTCACCACCATGCCACCTACCAAACCCGCAGCTGGATCTAGCAACCTCCGTGGCACCGCCACCGAGCATGGCGGAACCTCTCATCAAGGTGGGCTCGTTACCACTACTGACTTAGGCCTAGTCTTGCAGTCTTGGAGCAACTTCAAGCATTCCCTCCATTGCCTCCACGCTCGACGCACGCTTCTGCATACACCTCCAATGAAACCCTAGCCCAAGTGCAATTGGGCTCCACACACTTCTCTCCTCCCGATCCACAAAGTCAAGCAGATCATAATCTAAAAGTTGACCAGCTAGCTCAGATGATGGACGACCAAACCAATCTGATGAGGCAGCTCCTCCAACAATTAAACTTAGTTCAAAACCTTGGCCTTAGACAACTGGGCGAAGAGAGAATGATGGATGAATGCACCGATCGGCAGCTCGATGGGTACCAAGCAAGTCGAGCATGAATGGGCAGACAAGGAGATGGACAACAACGTGATCAGCTTGCCAGCATGTCACAAGCATCTCTAAGCCACACACAAAGCAACGTGCGAGAAAGACTCGGCCCATGACTTGACGTCCACGCTTGCCTGGACCCACAGAGAAATATTCACGAAAGACTAGGCCCCCAAGAAGGTCAACCCGGTAACCCGCACAATGAGGGCCATGAAGAAAGGTACTCCACTGACCGCTCTCGAAGAACCAATTCTCATCGCTAAGTTACAGAAAATCCATCGCAAGCACAGTCCACCAACACGCCGCCTATGCAGAGCAGCCGAGAAGGTCAACCCTTGCAAACCAACGAGGAAGTTACTCGGTCTCGCCCAAATCGTAAAGGTCGTCAACGTGACCAACTAGCCATGTGTGCGGAAGACGTTGAGAAGCTTGTGAATAACCGACTTCGAGATTTAAAGATTGGTGGAAATTTTGAAGATGCACTACGTGTTGAGGTAGACCGAGCAAACTCGTCACCTTTCACCGTCAAAATTGAGCAGGCTGCTCCCCCGAAACGATTCTCAACGCCCTCTTTTACATGCTTCAAAGGCGATTCCGATCTCAAAAGCCATCTAAAGCATTTCAAGAGCCTTATGATCCTTTACAAAGCCAAAGACGCGCTAATGTGCAAGGTGTTTAGCAGCTTCAAGGAGTTGGCTTACGTCTTCACCAAAGAGTACACCTCTTACCGGACGATCAAGAAGAACCCTGACCACCAGTACAACCTGTGCAAGAAGCCCGACGAATCCATTCGAGATTACATCAAGAGATTCAAAGCAGAAAAGGCCAACATTGTAGGATGTGATGACCAGATCGCGTCATGTGCCTTTCAGAAAGGTCTTCCAGCTGAACACAACTTGTACCGCGAGCTGACTATCACTCCCAGCCAGACTCTGGCAGAGGTCTACGCGACTGCGGAACATTACGCGCTTTGGGATGATAATCGAATCGCCGCAAAGAAGTCTACAAAGCAGGAAGATCAGTCGACTAAACGGGCAGGCCAAAGAAGCGATGGATAAGGATAATCGCAGGTCACATCCACAAGGGGACGCTAAGGCAAGAGAGAACTATACCAAGTTCACCATCCCTATACATCAAATCCAAGTCCAAGTGAAAAACAAACCTTGGGTAAGAAGACATCCACCATTGAAAAGAGATCCAGATAAGAGAGATACTAGCAAATACTGTGCCTTCCATGGGACGCATGAACACACTACGAACAACTGCTTTGCTTGGAAAGCACACCTTGAAGAACTCGTGAGAGAAGGTCACTGCACAGAATTCATTGCCAAGCAGGCCATCCAGCGGATTGAAGATCGTGACACCGCCAAGGAGTCGCCCTAAAAGGTCATAAGGATTAACAAAATCCTAGCCGACTCCTAGGAATCTGGGCTGACCATCAAGGAAAAGAAGAGAAAGATCAAACAGGCCACTATGATCTCCCAAGTCTCAGCCGACCTTCCGCTAGCAGAAGACGATCTTGTAATCGGCTTCCAAAAGAAAGATTTGATCAGCCTCGACATGCCACATAACGATGCCATTGTCATCAGCATTCAAATCGTCCAGGCCATGGTCGACCGAATTTATGCAGACGAGGGCAGCGCAACCAATATCCTGCAGCTAACTGTCATCCAACAGATGAGCTTAGAGACAAAGATCAATAAATCAGCCAAGTCGCTGACTGGCTTCAATGGCGCAACAGCGGTTACCGTGGGCACAATAGATCTCGACGTTTACTCCCCACCAGTAATCAGCTCTCAAACATTCATGGTCATTGATGAAGCCTCATCCTACAATGGCATTCTAGGCAGACCATGGATCATCAAGATCAATGCCATCACCTCCGCCACACATCAGAAGATTCGCTACCCAATTCCTGGGAGCAGTGTCAGTCAAATCAACAACGATCAAGCAATGGCGAGGAAATGCTAAACTCAAGGGCTAAAGAAAGGCAAGCAAACACAATTCCTCCCTATGAATCAGGCAAATCTAAAGGGAGTAGAACAAGCATAGGAGAAAGCAGATCCCGTTCTTGACGGCCGAGCAAATCAAAAAGGAAAGGGAATAACTACTCCCCAATAACAATCAAAGAATCAGGACCAAGTCGAGGGAATCCGTCTGGAGGTCTATCCTGAAGAAGGATTGGAGCCCGAGGAGGACGTTGAGCTAGTACCCCTTGATCCTGACAAGCGAGAGAGAAAAGCGCAGATCGGCTCGCGCTTAAGCCATAAGGAAAAGGCAGAGCTTGTAGCCTTCCTCCAGAATAACAAAGACGTATTTGCATGGTCACCATCCGACATACTCGGCATCGAGTCCCAGATCATCTGCCATCGCCGTCAACCCAGCTATCAAGCCTGTAGTGCAGAAGAGACGCAACTTCACCCCCGAGCGAGTTGCATCATTGAAGCCGAGATCAACAAGTTTCTGGTTGCTGGTTTCATTGAGGAAGTCTCCTATGTTATGCAGAATGGCTGGCAATCAAGAAAGATAAAGGTATGTGGAGAGTATGCGTCGACTACACCGACCTTAACAAAGCGTGCCCTAAAGACAACTTTTCACTGCCAAGAATTGATCAGCTCGTCGATTCAACTTCCGGCAATCAACTGCTAAGCTTTATGGATGCCTACTCCGGCTACAACCAAATTATGATGCATGAAGACGATAAGGCAAACACCTCCTTCAACATCGAAAGAGGTACATACTGCTATAAAGTCATGCCCTTTGGGTTGAAGAACGCCAGAGTAACCTACCAAAGGCTGGTGAACAAAATTTTCAAGGAGCAAATCGACGAGACTATGGAGGTCTACGTAGACGACATGCTAGTCAAAGCTCCCAAACGAGCATACCACATTAAGAATCTTGCCGAGGCGTTCAGCCTACTTCGAAAATACAACATGAAGTTGAACCCGAGAAAATGCACATTTAGAGTCTCGTCCGGCCGATTCATTGGATACTTAGTCACTTAAAGAGAAACTGAGGCACATCCAAATCAAATCAAGGCTATACTCAACATGAAGTCACCTGCCACAACAAAAGAGATACAAAGTCTAACGGGTAGGGCGACAGCTCTCAACCGATTCCTTTCAAGATCTACCGACAAGTGCAGGCCATTTTTCAAAGCCTTGAAAAAAGGACACAAAGACAAGTGGGATGACGAGTGTGAAGCAGCTTTTCAAAACTTGAAAACTTACCTCATTTCACCTCCATTACTCTCAAAACTGATACCAGACGAAGACTTGTACATCTACTTGGTGGTGTTCGACTCAGCTGTCAGCTCAGCTCTCATCCGAGAAGAGTTGGGGGCACAACATCCGGTATTCTACACTTCAAAAGCTCTCCTCGATGCAGAAACTCGCTATTCGAAAATGGAGAAGCTTATTTTTTCGCTTGTGGTTTATGCGAGAAAACTAAGGCCCTACTATCAAGCACACCAGATTATTGTCATAACAGAATTTCCTTTAAGATCGATCTTTCACAGCCCCAACGCTTCTCAGCGACTCATGAAATGGGCTATCGAACTCAGTCAATATGACCTCCTCTACCGGTCGAAGACTGCTATAAAAGCCGAAGTTTTAGCAGATTTTGTTGTAGAGTTTACTCCGACAGCCGAAGAAGAGAAGATGGTCACGAAAAGAAAGGAAAAAGCAAACGACACCTCCCCTACCGATTCTAACCTACCTAAACGACATGTGGCAGTTGCATGTAGACGGAGCATCAAATCACAAAGGAGCGGGAGCAGGAGTCGTCATAATCACTCCAGACGGAACCTTGTTGGAACAAGCTATTACACTAGGCGTTTCTGCTTCAAACAACGAGGCAGAATATGAAGCATTGCTTGCAGGACTACGCCTAGCAAAAAAACTGTCGATCAAGAGATTGGCTATCTACTCAGACTCCCAGCTGATCACGAATCAAGCCTCAGGCGAGTACATGGCAAAGTATCCAAGAATGGTCTAGTCGCTCGACAAAGTCCAAGGACTTTTGAAAGAATTCCATATTTTCATCATCCAACAAGTTCTGTGGCAGAGAACACTTATACAGATGCATTGGCGAGCCTAGGATCAGCACTGGACACCCAGTTCAGACGCTCCATCCTAGTTGAACACCTTGACCGGCCAAGCATCGAAGACATAAAGCCAATCAACTCAATGCAGATTAATGATGACCCCAGCTGGTAAGACCCTATCATCGACTACTTAGTGAATGGAAACCTGCCAACGGATAAGTCCGAAACTAGGAAGGTCCAGCAAAGGGCCGCGAGATACTATATGCACGGTAGCAAGCTCATCCGTAGATCATACTCCGGCCTTCATCTCACCTGCATAAAGTACCCTTAAACACTTGAAGTCCTCTGTAAAATTCACGACGGCGAGTGTGGCAACCACTCTGGGAGCAGACCACTAGCCCAGAAGGCTCTAAGCAGCAATGTAGTCACACAGACATCAATACAAGTTCAAAGCTTTTCTTTCCAATGAAGTGTTCACAAAAGAAATCGACACGTCTCTGGACGTAGGCCAAACGAGTCACACACATCGACACGTCCCCAGATGTAGGCCAAACGGGCCACTATCATTGACACGTCTCCGGACGTAGGCCAAACGGGTTACACACATCGACATGTCCCCGGACGTAGGCCAAACGGGCCACTATCATCGACACGTCTCCGGACGTAGGCCAAACGGGTCACACATTGACACGTCTCTGGACGTAGACCAAACGGGTCACACACATCGACATGTCCTCGGACGTAGGCCAAACAGGTCACTATAATTGACACGTCTCCGGACGTAGGCCAAATGGGTCACACATCGACACGTCTCTGGACGTAGGCCAAACGGGTCACACACATCGACATGTCCTCGGACGTAGGCCAAACGGGCCACTATCATCGACACGTCTCCGGATGTAGGCCAAACGGATCACACACATCGACATGTCCTTGGACGTAGGTCAAACGGGCCACTATCATCAACACGTCTATGGACGTAGGCCAAACGGGTCACACATCAACACGTCTCCGGACGTAGGCCAAACGAGCCACTATCATCGACACGTCTCTGTACGTAGGTCAAACGGGCCACTATCATCGACACGTCTCCGGATGTAGGCCAAACGGATCACACACATCGACATGTCCTTGGACGTAGGTCAAACGGGCCACTATCATCGACACGTCTCTGAACGTAGGCCAAACAGGTCACTCTCATTGACACGTCTCTGGACATAGGCCAAACGGGCCACTATCATCTACACGTCTCCGAACGTAGGCTAAACATGCCACAACCTAGCAGGCAGAACACTCCTCCTATCTAGCAAGCTGATAATCAGGATGCGGACCATTCTGCTTTCATTCCTCGATATTCTTAGAAAGGGGTAGACCATCGTCTTTCTCTCGATACTCGCTCAGTAGCAACTAGCAGCCACCGTCGCTCTAACCTTCTACGACTGCCAGTCACGATGTCACCCAGCTGGTCCTTGCCTCGAAAAAGAGAAGACGAAGAAAAATATACGTGCTCGACTTACCATGGGATGCACGGCAACTCCTCTCTTCGACAAGCAGTACAAATTCTCCAAGATCTCTCAAGCTAGAAAGTAGAGAAGTTAAGTTTGCAATGTAAGAAAGAGTGAAGAGAAGCCTCGTATTTGTACAAGTTGGACAACGCAGGTCAATCGCAAGCTCATTCCTAGGCCAATCGCAAGCTCATTCCTACTGGGAATCCAACTCCAAGAACAGTCAGAAGCCTACGCCAATTAGTAATCCGATCTACAAAAAAGCCCAGACACAGTAGGAGCGCCCGAAAAAATAATTTCATCTCCTACATACCACACAAGCGCCATGTAGAAGCTGGGGGGCATTTGTGGGAGCAAATATTTTCGTCTCCAATCAGAGCACGCCACGTGGAAAAGAAGATTATCTCTTAAATTAATTAATTAAACCAGTTTATCTGGCCAATTAATTAATTGGGATAAATATCTTAATTAATGGGATATTATCTTTATTTAATGAGATAATACCATT